CTATCCCATGAGCACAAAGGAGTTCCTTGATGGCCTTCTCCTGGTCGATGCGGTACGTGCCATCGCTCCCGAGCTCCACACACATCCCCAGGAACTTGTTGACGCGGCTAAGGTCCTTGATCAAGAGCAACGCAAGGCTCACGAGGAAGCTCGCGACCGCTGCGACATTCGTTCAAGTCGCCAGCAGGTCGTCGACGTAGAAGCCGACAACGACCAGCTCACCGCCGTCGCGCTTGTGGTACAGACACATGTCTGACAAGCAGCACACGTACCCCGCATCGCTGAGTCACGCATGGAGTAACTGGATCCATAGGCGCCCGGCTTGCTTCATCCCATACAGGCTTTTCTGCAACTCCAAGACGACCTTGCCCGGATGCGTAGCACCGATCTTGCGCAGAGTGCTCTCCGACAAGGTCATACCGCGCTGCACCTGCGAGTAGATGTCGTGCTGTGCTTCTTTCTCGGCACGCACGTATGCACTCGGGATGTCTCCATGCTCGGTCGGTACTCCCCACGTCGCCGCAAGCGCCAGCACGACCTTTGCCGTCGAGATGTCCATCACAGCAACAAAGGCCAGATTGTCATCGATGCCGAGCACTTGCTAATTGCCGCATACGACAAGCCTCGCTTTGTATCACTCGAGCTCTCCGTAAGCACTCGTCTTGGTCTTAATGACCCACTTGTAGTGGAGAGCATTTACGCTCGGGCTGCGCTTTGTGACTCGCCACACGTCGTTGCTCTCGAGCGTGGCGGTCTCCTCTTACATCGCTGTCTGCCATTACGCGCGCTCGTGCTACGTATGGCCTCTCCATAGTTAAGTAGATCGCGCTTAAAACTACGCTAACCACCTCATCGCTCGCATCTCGCTCTTCCTGGTGTGCAGATAATTGCTCGCACTTCGATTCGCTGCGCGTACGGTGCGCTTGTCGCTCCCGCTACTTCTCGCTCTTCTTGCGAGCGCCTTCACCATCTTGCACTGCTTCAATTTCGTCGCGGATCGCCACTGCTGCCTCTACCGTTGGCGCTGTCCCTTCTGCTTCGTCGTATCGATCGCCGACCTTCATCGCGCACTCCAGTTGTGCATTCTGCGCATCGTACAACGTGGAGATGCTCTTCACGTGCTGTGTGACGACCACCTTGTTATCTTTCTTGAGGAGGTCCTTGTACCCTTTCGTCTCCTCGCTGACGTCCACGATGATGCCTGTCTGGGATCGCTGCTGCAGCGAGCTCTTGCGCGGGTCGCGATAGATGCTACACGACGATCCGAAGACGACGATGCTCCGCAGTTCCGGCTCCTTTCCCATCAGCATCTCGATAGACGACGCTCTCTTCGCGTTCGCTCGCGTTGGACTTCGGTTCAAGATGTGGACGGCGTACAGCACCGCGTCGCCCCAGAACTGCAACGGCAGCGCGCACGCAAGCATCATGATGCGCGCGAGGTTTAGCACCATCCAGTGCATCCTCTCTGCCTTTTCGTTGGATGCCTGGTTGCACGCTTCCGACACTTGGCGCGCGACACCCGTGCGCTTGCAGAACAAGTCAACGTCGGTGTACTCGCCACCGCCGTCCGTTCGCAGCACGTGAGCCTTGAAATCGAAGAGCTTCTCAAAGTGGACGAGGAACGCTTGAAAATGCTTTGCCGCTGCTTCCTTTGAGCGCGCGAGGAACATACAGCAGTAGTTCGACTTGTAGTCTATGAAGTTGGCCAAATTTTGATTGCCGAGGCGATCCTGCGGCGTCATTGGGCCCTTGAGATCCGAGCATATGACGCCGCCGATCCTGTAGATTGGCGAGTTGGCGCCGCTGCCTTGCTGCGACTGCGCGTTTCGCGTCTGCTTGCCCTCGATGAATGACACGCACGCCATGCGCTTCTTATGGGTCAGTCGAATGTCCGACGCTGGATCGCATGCCATATGCCGATCGTATCGAACGCTAGGTGGCCGAGTTGCTGGTGCCAGTGCAGCAGTGAGGATTGGTGCACGCCGTCTGCATCAGCATCCATCGCACGTGCTTCGAGCACGGCCATGATAGCATCTTTAGCGCTGTGTTCCTCATGTCGCTGTCGCTTCAACGTACAATACGTTGCTGTCGATCGCGACGTCGAACAAGACTAAACCGTCGCTGCGCCGTGCTAGCGCTCGTTTGTTTTGCGAGGGCAAACCCTTTGCTCTCCAGCTTCCCGTAAGAAAAGATGTTCTTCGCCAGACGCGGCGCAAGAAATACTTCAGTTAGCGTCACTTCCATCTTCACACCGCGTGCGAGAACCCTCAATGCACATTACCGACACGAGTCAGCCGCAGTGACTCACCATCTGCCATGGCAATCTCGTGGACGCAGGCACTAAGTCGAAACGAAGCAACTCGTCGTTCACGAGGTGACTGCTCGCACCGCTGTCGAGGATCCAGTCACCTTGATCAATGTCAATCGCATCGTTTGCGGCTAGCACGAAGCCGCCCGCGTAGGTCGAGGCTTGCGCTTTGTCGCTCACGTCGCTCGCACGAGCCGCTTTGCCTCGAAAGTTCTTCTTCTTCTTGCTTTTGGCTCCTTTCTTGCAAGCCACTAAAGATTTCCCCGTGAGCGCAAGAACCATGTCGCCGCTCAAACTATTCTTCTCGTCGTCAAACACGACCCTTGCCTTGCAGTCGGACACGACGTGCCCCTTCTCGCCGTAGCAAAACGTTCGTGTGTCTTGGCGCTTTGTCTCGACATGCGCCGTAACAACCTCGCGGCCGACCGCGCCGCTACCAAGCTCGATCGACTGCGCAAAGTGCGCCAACTCCACAGCGTAATGCAGGTAGTCGGACCGCGTCGGGTCTTACTTCGCCCGCATGACATTCATCAGCTCTGGTGACGCGTGATGCACGATGTTTTCGAGCACAAGCGAAGCGGCGCCAACGCGCGCATCGATGACGGCTACCATGTTAAGGAAGTGCTCGACCCAGGTGCTTCGCGCTTCTTTCTTTGCCATGAACAGCTTCATGGCCTGCCTCGCCGTGATCTTCGTCCTGAACGTTAGGTACAGCTGCTCCATGACGTGTTCGAGACTCGGCTGCTGCACCTACCAAGTGTAGACTTGTTTGTGATAGTAGCTCTCCGCAGTACCGGCCGAGAATCGGCCAAGGAGGTCGACCTCTACGTCCTCTGTCCACAAGAAAAAACACGACGCTTCAGCTAAGCTTACGGCGCGCATGAAAAAGTGCGTCCCCAGTCAAAGAACTCGCTCTTGAGCCCTTTGTAGAGCTCCGTCTCATCGAACTTGCGAATGTTGAGTTTTCGCTGACTCGTGGTAGGCATTTTGTAGTTGTCTATCGCTGCCGCCGTGTGCGTCGCAGGTGGCGGCGCTTCTTGACGCGCTGCGGCCATGGGCTCGGCTGCTCGTACCAGCATACGATGCTGAGCTGACGGCTGTCCGCGCGGCGGCGCGAGAGAGGAGAATGTGGACTCACCGTCATCTGACCAACGAGCGCGCGCGCGAGGAACTTCTGGTTTTTCCTCCAGCGGCTCAAGTGCTTCTATGTTCATGGGGCGTGCACGCATGTTCTCTCGAAGCTTGAACGCAAACATGCCGCTGTTGACAGTTCCGAGCATCCTCTCGTCTTAGTCCTGGACGCACTGCGTAGACTCGAGCTTCGCCAGGCGGCCGGTCTTTGCGGCGAGGGCCACGAGGATCTTGTTATTAATCTCCTCGCCCCTTTCGCGGGCGGAGGGTTCTTCGACGGCTGCCGGCGTGTTCACTGATGAGGGCACACGCGCTATCGAGCCACGACTGGCGCGGATCGTAAGAAACTTCCTGGTGTCTTAACGGTCGCTTCAGTCTCTCTAACCATTGGGCTTAAAACCTGTTGGCAAGTAAGCTTGTTGCGGTAGGAAGACGATAAGAGTCTGCATATTGATTGCATTGTCTTTTTTCTACCTGTCTCCTAGTCACTCTTTCTCCAATTACTTTGTGCTCCAAACATCTCGATATAGATGATTGCTAGTCAACTTGTCTACTACCCGCTAGCACTGACCATCTATGATCAGTTGACGGCTGGCGCTAATCGCAACTCAGAATCCTCAACCTCAACTTCCAACAGTTATATACTGCGCTACAAAAGCAGTCATCTTGTTTAAAAGTGGCAAAAGAAAGTTGTGGCGACAATCTCTCTTTAGGTTCGAAGCAAAAAGCTCTATAAGAGAATATCAGGATTGACAGTAACTTGTATAATAAGAGTTACAGCTGCAGTCAAAGAAAGCAACACCAAATATATACCTATAAGCTAGTCAGTCGGTGCTTGGTATGTATGAATAGTACGACACTAGTCAGTAGTATCTCGTATGATTTTCGACGAAGCTTTTAGTGCTTGCCTAGCTCACACAAAATAACCTGCAATCCATAGACACCTCGGTTTTTGTCGTATTGGAGCACAGATCTACAATCACCCTATGCTACACTCCGTCAAGCAGCAGCTCAATAACTCGATTAAAACGTCAGCTACGATTGAAAGCTCATTAGTTTGGTACTTGTACGTTCAACAATATAACTCATGCTAAGAACAGGTCATCGATATCGCTCAAGACTAAAAGAAACGATATCGCTGCATTTTGCTTACATTACGTTCACTACAGCTTATCGACAAAGAGCTACATTAATTCTAGACGATAAATATTAGTTTTTTAGCGGTCAGTGTATTATTGCTGCTGTAGAGACATTTAGTAAGGACGTAGCACAAAAATTTAAAATATTATTTTCGTGAGACAACATTACTCATTTTTTTTTTTTTTTTTCTATAATAATATACCTCCCTTAAGGGTGAGAAATTTTGTTATATTTTTTTTTTTTTAAGAGCACTTCTTACATTTACGATAAAGTAAATACCCTGTATTCTCTAATGAAAAGCAAGTTAGTACAAACCATCAAAAACCTCAGTAAACTTATCCCCAAAACTATATCGACCTTCCATCTTGTATTGACGCACAACACTATACAAGCGAGTCCAATTTGCACGTGTCCCAAACCAATGTTTGCTCGTGGAACTGCTGCACTACGGCGCTCACTAGTTGTGTCTCCAATACAGACGACTTTACAAACCCAGGGCTATACTCACAAGCCAAAAATTCAGTGCGTCATAAAGTCATTGTATACCCTGGAAACATTTCTCTAAAAATACAAGTACCAAATGTAACAGACTGCCCATAAAAAACAAGACAAAAGTGCATGTACAACCAATTGTACAAAACTGTGGTGGAGACCTCATGCATTGGATGGGACCTGGGAGCCGCTTTCAAATGTATTGTTCATTGCTTTTATCTGGAAGTCTCGTCTACCAAGCTGATGTCAATGCTAATCTAATAGAAGTAAAGAGCTTGTTAATGATAGAACATATCTACTTATTGATCAGAATATATGAAAACAAATCGCTGATGTACTGTGTATAGGTGTTGGCTACAAGTGGAGCCATCTGCAGCGCGTCGATGATTGTTTTCTTTGGAGCGAAACGGCTTTGTGACAAGGTGGTGACGGACATTGTATCATGTCGAAAAGTGGGTGACCCTGACGAGTTTGTGCGGGTGACGGTACTGGGTGTTGGGAAGAAAGTGGTGCTTGAGGCATTGCCAAAAGGTGCGCTCTTCTAAGTAGAATATTGTGACCGGGGGTGAGTTCATGACGGAGTTGTTGGTGATTCAGACCTCAAGTTATTGGGACATGATGGCAAGGACACGTACAGTTTTACATTGGGCGGTCGAAGACTTGAATTGGATACGTCTACTGGCGAGTGTTTGAACCGTAAGGCGCTGAATATCCTGATGCAGGGCAGGACGTTGGTTACAAGAAAAGACAATCGCAGCAAGAAAAAAATGCGTGGATAAAGAGGGGGGGAGATTGACAGCGTCGTTGAATCGAGTTTGACAATGCTGAATAAATTTCTTTTTTCATAGAGATTTGCTGGTCAAGTCATCGATCTTGTACATGCAGCAGCTGTGAGCTACGATCACTTATATCAGCACAAAGTGTATCAGACTAGCCGCACAAGGTGCCGACTAGCTGCACAAGGTGCCGACTAGCCGCTGAGTGTTTCGGTGGGTCATGCTCAACAGTTAAAGACAGAAAACCCACGTCAGAGTCTTTAATTTTGTTTGGTCCGAGTACACGGTGCTCCTCCGTTATCGCAATCCTGTCATCCCATAAGAAGCATTCGCTAACCCTTCAGCTGACACTTGGTTCAAGTGGCACATTGGGACAGGCTGACGAAATGGCTGAACACCTCTTTAATAATCGGCTGGCATTTGACCAACTATCCATGTCATTGGTCACGTGGAGATCGCGACAGGCACATCTCATTGAGTGTATGTAGTAGCCATAGATTCCGACTACATATTGGTATTCGGTTCTGCAGCTTGTATGAAAATTTCCAAGATCGCATCTTTGGACGCGTTCAAGAGTATCCATCTGACGACTCGATCCTGACGACTAGACGAGCAATCTATTGCCAGCTGACACCGATCGTCTGTTCACGCTACGTTCACTTGATTGCTGGCGCACCAAAGATCCGACAACTTTTAATAATTCGGCAGCCATGTGGTGGCTGCTGCCAATACGAGACTCAAGACCTATCGCTACGTAAGTAGGCTAAGCTGATTCTTTGATCTGATTGATCCCTAGTCCCAACGGATCTAAAATTTCCTCAAACCCATAGCATACGAACAACGTCTTGTATCTATTACACTGTTCTTGTTGCAGTTGTTGATTGCGGCTGAGACGATAGCAGTGGTTAGTAGAGTGGAACATTAATGGACTCGCTCTATGCAACGGCTACAGCAAACGGCGACACTCCATGTGTCACGTTCCATCATTACGTTAACAAGGACATGAGTCCGTGTTTATCTTGCATCCCATCGACCGGGGTAGATAGCGAAAGTGCTACCTACGTAAAAGTCAAGCAAAAGCGTAACAATTTGTCGTGACATGTTTTTCTCAACATAGAAACACTGTCGTTTGAGATAAAGTTGTTGATGCAGCATTGTCTACGGTACATTTGCTTTGTGATCCATGTAACAACCAGCACGCCAAAATCATACGGTTAGTCTACTAATGCCGTACTTCATACGAACCCACCATCCTAAAATATTCCGACACAGAGTCGACAGTTGAATTTTTCAAGCTCGAAATTTTTGATGGACGCATCCCACTTTTTTTCCACTTTTTCCATGAAAACATGTAGCACATTTACCAAGTCGTTCAAGGTTCACTATCATAAAAGTAGTAGCAGATAAGAGACTGACCGACTGATCGACCAGTCATCACCATTTCAGTATCAGCCTCACAAGTCAGTCATTCCATCGGTACCATCACCATTTTATCAACAAAAGCATCTTCAAACACCTTCAATATGTTGCTCGTAGATAAACAAACACAATCGGTCACTACTGGTCGCAAACGGAAAATCGTCTTACCTGATGACTGCAGGGAAAAGCGCGTACGCTGTTCATGGACAGAACTCGAGTACGAGATGGTACTTGAAGAAGCGACATTATTACGTGAAGAGCTTGGACTTTTACTATTCATGGCTGTGGACTTATGTAAAGACCTTGGTGGTGATGATGCACGTGTCCGGAGTTTCTCCGCTACATTGGAACAAATAGGCGAAGTTATGGCCTCGTCACAGACATTTACAGTACCACAGATTCGTGAAATGTGTCAACAAATGTTGGCAATGATGCAACATCTTTGTCAAGTCCATTACAATCATTTTGAACTCATCGATATGCAAGATCAACTACGAGAATGTCGCAATCGGTTCATGCTCTTTATTGGCAAGAACGCCGCCATGATTGGACTGTAACTAGTACCCTCTTTCTAATCATATCTCAATAACTTATGAGCTGAGACTCTTCTATCCTAGTAATTGTCTTACCCTACGCTCCTGTACACACAATATGGAATATACCACTTGCATCTTTTGAAAAAATGATGCTACATTTGACAAGTCTTTCCATTGAAACAAAGCGTTACTAGCGAAAGCACAAGTCTTGCTACTAGAGATTTAGACTGTCGCTACTAGCAACATCATAGCATAGAAATCAATCAAAACTTGATACATTGGTATGACAGTGTGTTAGTTGAGTAGAGAGTTTTTAGTTTTAGCTGCTAATGCAAAATGGACAATCGCTTTGAGATGTTGATCAAGTGGTGCCCTTGCATCTTCTTCAAACCAGGACTGGAATTTGCGTTTCTACAAACGAACAGTGTTAAGACATGTCAAAAAAAAACGTGCTGGTACAATCCAGTACGAAGGCTTACACTTATGTTCATGATGTCTAAACTTGTCTGCACACCACGGAGCTTGTCGTCCACATCGTCAGCAAATTGAGTAAAAGCTTTTTGTGCTAGCTTTGCGCCATCGTCGGAAGCATCGCTGCTTGCAAGAGCCACTGATTTCACCAAATCGTAGCCCTCACGAAGCTGATTCATTTCGGACGTCAGACCGTCCACAGAGACACTCTTGCACTGCAAGACAAGATTGATTTCATCGTAAAAGTCCGACAACTTTCCATCGTTTTCCATCTGCAAAACATTCAAACAAGTCAAATTTCTTACAAATGACTTCATTCGCTCCGCAAAGTTCGTACCCAGAGGACATGCAAGAATCCATCAAGCATAGAGTTTTTATTGTCGAATGACTTCGTATGACTCATCTTGGCCAGCGATTCCAGCGAGAACCTTGCTCTGTAATTTTCAACAAATTCCTCGTTTGCAAGATTACCAAAGTCCCGAAGGAGTTGCATCACTTTTGTGAATTTGGGGCTCGAACAGAGTTGGTTGAGTGCCCGGGTTACTAGACCCGCCGCTTGCCTACGAAGTCAAAATATGTGCACAATTTGTGTTAGAGTTCACTCATCATTTGTGTATGTACATGTCGACTGTACTTGAGGTTCTCAGCTCGTGAAGGTAACTCTAGTTTCAGCAGGAGGCATTCAAGCTTTTCTTTCGCCATCGGAACAGCGCGGATCGTTACCAGAAACTGCTCGCTCTGAAGGAACATGGACAATTAGCATCGCGGTCTCACAGCTCCATTTTTCAGACAAAAACGTACAAGTTTTAGAGCTTCAAAATCTTCCGAATATTCTTCGAGAGCAATTTCCTCAGCCATGCTAGGCCACATCGCTAGAATCGTCCTAACATCCGTGTCTTGCAGATACATAGCCGTCAGGATATTGACATCTTTAGCCACGTCGGCGAACGGAGATGTGATGCGGTTTACTGCGAGCTCGAGGTTCACAGCTTTGTTCCCTTTCAATATTTGCACCGTTCTCGTGCTCTTAGGTCGAGAAGGACGCTGAATCGTGGAAGCTGTTCTAGCGTTCCTCTTTAACGGTGCACGTTTGGAGCTCTCCACTATATTGCCAATCTCTCTCACGTAAAGTTCTTGAATGTACGCTTGCGATGGAGCCGTGAGCCGCTGGTGTGCTTCCTTTTCATTGACCTGCATCCACAGGGATCCTTCCAATGGAGGAGGGGCTCGGTCGGCTTTGGAGACTTCCGTCCAGTGCCATCTACGACGCTTCGTCTTCATCACAGGAACATCACTCGCTATTGGCGCAAGGGTTTGCTCAGGGTGCAATGCTCCTTTCATATTGGCTCCATCTAGGCCCGCGTTGTTGACTCCATCAATACGCATTCGCTCCTCAACCGTTTGTCGAGGTACGCCAACTTTAAGCATTTTGCGATAGCGCTCGTAGGGGTCCTCAGCACCAGATGCAGTAGGAGCATCATCATCGTCTTGGCCGTCTTCGCTTTCTGTAGTCGTAGTTGCCTGTAAAACTCCACCACATGAGAAATCAAGCACCGTCATTAGTCGATGCATTCGTACCTGTGCCTCCACTTTGTCCTCCGTCCAAACTCCTCTTGGCTTGAGAGAGTCTCCCTTTCTCGATCGACACGTACACGTCAATAGCTAGTTAGATCTAATAGTTACTAGAGCAAACAGCAATGATAATAACCACCCCAATGAGTCGTAGAATCCCAGCCCGGCTTTCCGTCATCCCCACGGCCGCTAAACGGATTTGGGCCACAAACATGTTGCACACGGTCTAACTTGTTTGCAGTCCACAAAAACGAAAATGAGAGCTCTTCGCAAGTTTGCAGCTTCAAAAAACTACCTTTCTCGCACTCGCGTCCTGTGTAGCTTCATTAATTCTGTAGTTGCCTTTCTCAATCGACCAAACAAGCAATCATTAAGCTCGTGTGAAGTTCGATGGCAAATACTCATTTGTATTCCCATCCAAAACGCATCAAATTGTTTTCTTCTTGAATTCTCGTCTCAAGTTGGTCTTATGAGGCTGTCGGGCGCTTTCTTATCTGGTCTTAGTAATTGTTGCTGCTTCTTCTCTTTTCTTTCTTGCAAAGCGAACTCGGCTACGAGTAATGTTGGCGATGCACGTCTTCAAGTACACTCCGACATGGTATGACGGCACGCAGCTTGATGCACATCAAAAAAGCACCCGCAAGCTTACGATGCAGACTATAAGCTTCTTGCGGCGGGGGTGTCAAACGACCGTGCATGAACGCCTCTGTGTGCTGACCGAGTCTGGTTGTCAATTGGCTCTTTTGGAAGTCAAAGGGCTCGTGCGACCGGAAGGGCTCACCAACCACCATACCAGCTGCAATATGGGCGCGCATCATAGCGGGAGACTCGTCGCCAGTCAGGAAGTGCAGCTTGATCGAAGAGTCAATCATCGTTTTCTCGTCTTCATTCGCTGCAGCCCAAACAACGTTGAAGTACTCATCCACGAACGACTTCGGATACTCGCGAGCAGCACCAAAATCTACAAGCCCAATCTTGTCAGTGGATGCATTGTACATAAAGTTGCTCCAGTTTGGATCTGTCTGCATGAAGCGCCAGTTAAATAGCTCATGAATCGTAAGCTCAAGGAGACGACGACCAATACTGTTGCGCACATCCTGCGAGAGATGCACTGCTTTGTCAACCGCAACTCCAGAGATTAATTGCGTCGTCAAAATACGTGCCGTGGACAATTCTGGGTACACGCGTGGCACAACGTATTGTTCACCCATGCCACTCTGCTCGATAAGCTCCCTGAAACGCTCCTGGTTCTCCGCCTCCTTAATGTAATCACACTCGGCTGTGAGTTCTTCCTCGCCCACACGAATGATCTCGTCAATGTACAGTCCACGTGGTAAAATGTTCGTGTATGTCACCAGTCGTTTGAGGTTGAGCAGATCACTGCCGATGGAATCAGCCACACCTGGATACTGAATCTTAATTGCCACGCGGTCACGGTTCAGAAGCGTAGCTCTGTGGACCTACAACACAAAAAAATTGCAGCCCCCACAAGCAAACGTATGTCAATGCTACATTCAGCTACGACGAGGATCTAAAATCAGCAGCTCTGTAATAACGAAATACCTGTCCAATGGACGCAGCAGCAATTGGAACGTCGTCAAATTCTAGAAACTTGCTTTGCCAATCTTCACCAAGTTCAGTTTCAAGCTGTTGATGCAGCTGGTTCTTCGGCATGACATGTGCACTAAAAAGCAGCAACCACCACAGCAACAACAACATTAAAAAACTTGCAACAAATATCACACATACAATCCTGCAATCGTACTTTTCACGAACACGATCCAATGCAACCGTTAGTTTCGATGGAATCATTGCTTCATCTTGAATACTTAACATCTGTCCAAGTTTCAATGCTGCTCCTCTCATTGTACATAAAGTCTCCGCTAACTTTTCCACATTGGCATCGGATACTAAAGCATTATATGTGCCATTCTTTCCACCCGTTCGTACAAATTCTGCTGCTGTGCCAACTGCAAGTTTGGCAGCAAGACCTCCAAAACCTAAAATTCGAGATAAAGGTGATGAAGGGACTCGTTTTTCTTCCCATACTTTACGTGGGACTATTTCTTCTTTTTCTTCCTCGTCGTCTTCTTTTTTTCTTTTCTGTAGCCATTGGGACGTCTTGTGCAACGTTTATTGTAGCTTGTATCTTTTCTGTTTGCAATGAATGTTCTCTCGTCTGTTCGTTCTGTTTTGAACTAGTCGTTTTGACGTGATTCGTAATCATTGGTGTCTTTTCTGTCGTCGTTTTGAGGAGGGTGGTACTCACTGGTCCTTTCTCTTGTTCCCGTGTAGCCATTGCATTCCCAGCTGGTGACGCGTTCGAATTGACAAAAGATGGAACGATTCGACTCAATTCCATGGCGTGCTTTGACAGCTGTTCACTCTTTGTCGTTATCATTGGACTTTGCGTACGAATGACTTGCTCCGTCACTTTCCGAGCGCCTTGTAACACTCGCATAAAATCTTGCGTCCACATGATGACGAAAAAAGCAGAATGAGTGCGATGCGTCGCGTCAAGAATGATTGTCACCGTCGCATCCCACGCGTTTCGTAACGGACTCTTTCGTGTGGACCACAGGATATATCGATACTAAGTACGATGCTACAATCATTCTACTTTTTACCACGCAAAAATGACTGGTACGAAGTAGTGCTATTGATATGTTAGATGATTGATAATGTGAGTGAGTCTGAGTATATATGGGTCTGTGGGGTATGTATAGATCAAGTCCGTGCATCGCATCTGCTTATCAAGCACAGTGGCTCACGTCGTCCGGGTACGATAAAGTTGTATCTCTGAAGTAACTGTAACGAACCCTCTTGCCCTAAACCGATGTGTTTTGTCTACCCCTTCACAGCCTCACGTCTGTCCAATCACATCACTCGTTCGAAGGAAGAGGCTATTGTCCAATTAAAACGTAGGAAGGTTTATTTATATGTTGAGGTTTTACAAGTCGACTGCTGACAAAAAAGTGCTTTTTTCTATCTAGAATTACGTACCCAGATTGTTTCGGGGGAGGCCAAATTTGAGGATTTGGCAGTGAAATTTAGTGACTGTAGCAGTGGTACTCGTGGTGGTGACCTTGGTCCATTTGGTCGTGGAATGATGCAAAAACCCTTTGAAGACGCCACGTGAGTAGAAATACAATTGTTATATCGAGGATTTCTACTTGATGATGCTAAATGATGTGAGTATATTGTTATTGTTGTTGTTGATTTAATAGGTTTGCATTGGCAGTGGGTGAACTGAGCAATGTCGTGGACACGGATAGTGGAGTGCACCTTATCCTCCGCACGGCGTGATTGAACGTTGTGTCGGCAAGACGCAGCTGATGATTATTTGGAAGCTGCTAGTGGTTCTATTGTAGTACTGTCAGTACGTGACAGATGCAGGAGTTGGAAGCCACAAAATGAAAAGTGAACTCGTCATTTGACAAATTCATTTACGAGTGTCGGACTTTTGCAGTCTTTTGAGGAAGGCATTGAGCCTTCGGATGTTCGCTGCTGCTTGCTACATTCAAGCACACACTATCGACTGTCGTTGTGTAATTTTGCCACTCTTTTTTTATGTACTCTAGCGCAACGTATATCAAATATCAGTCTAACGCAGCGCCATCCAGACTCATCAACAAACTTGAGAAGAATAAAGCATTACGCAGAACTTCCATCTAATGTGTGTTTTTACTTGCTGTTCCATTATGTCTTCCTTAATAGGCTCCAACGCCGTAGCAATCTGGATTCTCTTTAACTCACTGCGAGCAGCAGTATCATACGAGTGCAACACTGCAACTCCACTCGTTAACGCCGCTGAATCTTTGGCCGAAATTGGTGTTGACATGCCGTACCTATCCTTTAGTCCATTCGCGCGTTTGCACGACGATACACTTACAAGATGAAACAGACTAATTTCCAACTGTACTGCCGCGACGGAAGCTGAATGACTTCATCGACAACCGTGATGATGAACGCGGTGACGATGAGTGCATATTAGCGCTCGAGATGCTGTCCCGCGAGGCGCTCTTCACACGGCGCTTGTACACGCACGTATCTTGGTCCACACGAATACCCCACTGGAGGTACTCAGCGTTAGTAGCAGCCTCAAGGAACTGGTTCAGCTTTGCTACACGGTCTTGGATAATCTTTTCTGAAAAGTTGCCAAAGAGCTGTTTGTTTGGCAGCTCTGGAATCTCCTTGCGTTTGTATCCGTTCTTAGTCTGCAGAGTGGCTGCTAGGTTACGGAACGTGCTGTACCGGTGCCACACATACAGCGTACCACGCGTGTTCGTCTCGATTTGCAGCTTGTACTCGACAAATTGTCGACCCTCCCGGTAGGTAATTCGGCTGTCCACCACCTTGGCGGAAATAAGAGAGACCTCCTGTGAACGCACCAGCTTCGTCTGGAGTTGCACCACCTGCTGTTTCAAACGCTCATTCTCACGCAGCAGCTCGGCGTCAGCATACTCAGCCACGTTGGACGACAGAGTAGAGCGCAAACGGTCGTTCTGAGAGATCAGTTCGTGGTTCAACTCTAGAGCCGCCTCAGCGGCCGATTTGGCGTCTCGAGCTGCAGATTCTGCCTCGGCGACCTTAGACGCCGCTTCCGTGAGGGCACGGAGCGTACGCGGAGATACAGGGCCGGCCGATCCCTCCATCATTTCCTCCTCTTCCTCCTCGTCACTCCAATCATCTTCCACAGGCTCCTATCACACAACAATATCCTAAGTAATGCTGCACGGTCTACGTCAAGACAGCAATAGTAAAGCTTACCGGTTGGGGGTCGCTGTGCTCGCGCTCTTCCATCTCTTTCTGACGCATACGCTCCATCGCCTCCTGCTGCGCAATCTTGCGGAGGCGCTCCTGCGCAAGCTCGCGCTCCTTCCGGACACGCTTGACAAGAAGTGCAAACAAGTAACGCTGTTTGCGGCCACGCGCCAGAGACTGCAGCTTAATAACACCGGCACGCAGCGTCCGGTAGCGCTTGGCCTGAAGACCACCACGAGTAATGGCTTGGATCTGAACTACTGCAGTGCACTGACGCAGGAAGCGCTTGCGGTGCACGTAGCCGCGCAACGTTTTCTGAAGAAGAATTGCGTGGTCCTTGAGAATCACGTTTCGACGGTCCTCCAATCTTTGTAACAGACCCGAGCTAAAGTACACCTTTGTCGTACCCACGGCGAATTTGGTGTTCTGCATAGTTGTAGCAATATCGGGAATCAATTCCTTTAGCAGACCAGCAACCATATCACAAGGTTTCGCATCGCGTAAGGCCGACGGACAAATAATCTGGAAGCGCTGCTGGAACTCAACAAGCTGCAAACGATTCGGGAAGGCTGCACGACTGATGCGAATAGCAGCAATCACACCCGCGCAACGTAGCTGCTCCACAATCATGAGGCGGTCGAACTCCACTGCACTCTTGTTGGCGTTAGGCTTGATGCAGCGCACGTACTGCGATGAGGTCTTGTTAATGGTCAACATTAGTTCAGACAACTGTTTACGGAAGGCACCAGCAATAGTGTTACCGACGAGGAAACCTTTTTGGCGAACTTCCTTCCCCTTCTTGCCACGGCTGTTGCGCTTACTCGTCTGTGTGGACGTAAAGATGCCTGAAACGACATTGTTCTTGCTACCAGACAGCAGCTGCACCATATCCGTAGGCAGTGTGTCCTTGTTCTTCTCCAAAAAGCCCGTACCGTTGTATGTCACGTCACCAGCATAATGATGGATAGTGAACTCCAGCGGATTGATTCTGTTCTTCTCAATGCTCGGGTGATCGCTGCAAGCGTCCAGAACCTTGCTCACGAAGGTGTTGTCGGTGGCTTGAGGCCGAAGCACTTCCTCGTTCAGCATACCAACAATTCCCATTCGACCCTCAATAAGGTCAAGGATCGGCTGGTTGTCCTCGAAGGTCACTAGAGTCAACGGAATGCCTTCATCCACGTACTCTTGCTGCACATCCTTAAAGACATCGCTGTTGAACTTCTGCTGCAGCTTCTCGTTTGCGTAATTTATGCAAAGTTGTTCGAAACCGTTTTGGTCGAAGCTCTCAAAACCAAAGATATCCAATAGGCCAATGTGCGTCTTGGCATTGCTCGTGGAGCAAATAGCCTTATTGATACGGTGAACCAACCAGTCGAACAGCTGCGTGTACATACCCTTCGCCAGAGCGTCACGCAGGTCCGAGGCCTGCTCAGCGTTCAGCGGAATCGTGTATGACTCGGAACCAGCCGTAATCGAGCGTTCGAGCAACGTCGAGTAGAGTGCCTCGCTCTTTGTACATAGCAAGGCACCGACGTTGTCCACAATGTGCTCATTGCTCACGTGGCTTTTCTCACTATCATTTGCATTTGGTGCAAACTCCACTTCACCAAGGTTCAGGATCGCAGCCACAATTTCAAAAATAGCATTCTGTTCCTCAGTCGAGATACCAATCGTATCCAAAGCATTCTGTGTCTCCTTGAGACACTGCACATCATCTATTCCCGTGAGTTCTGCATCCGCGCCCTCGGTCACGTACTTGTAGCTGGTAACGTCACCACTCAACTTGAGCTCCTTCTTTCGATCCTCTGGCAAGCAAAAGATCTGGTAGAAAATGTGGTAATTGCGTTCACCTTCCGTTTGGCCGACGACGCGACTTTTCTCAAGCAAATAGGTTTCACACAGACAACCCACGAGCAAACCCATGTTGTCAAACTGTAGCTGTGCAAATTTACCAAACCGACTCGAATTGTCATTGCGTTTGGTTTTCGCATTACCAAATGACTCGAGTAACGGATTAGATTGCAAGACTTGATCAATGACTTTGGTTCCATGATTACCACCACCAGAGATCGAAGCCAAATGATTCATCATAATCTTGACCGTCTCGGTCTTTCCAGCACCAGATTCACCACTTACAAGGATACTTTGATCCACTTGTGTTCTCTTCATGTCCAAATAAGAAGTAGCTGATAAAGCAAAAGGATGAGGGGCCAAAGAATCTCGTGGTTGATCCAGATATTGTTCATAGAGTTCACGACCATAAAGATCAAGCCATTGATATGGATTCACTGCAATACATATTGCTCCCGTATAAGTATATGGCATTTTCTTGGCAAACCGTAATTCTAAATTCTTCAGTACAGCTGGTTCATGTAAATGATTCAACGTGCACATATCATTTGCCCCTTCAGCTTCAAAGACATTACAAATGGGCATTGCTTCATCCGAAACTTCTCCTGCTAAACGTGCAATGTCTCGAATGTTGACAATTTTTTCCACGCCATCATCTGGTTCCCATTCTCCGTCATCATTTGGTTGAAGTCGAACTTGTGCACTTGTTCCGTCATTGACACGTTGCATCACAACCGCTTTTTTCCAAACATGGTGATCATGTGGAACCCAAACCATCGCTCCATTATCTAACATTCCACTAGGAAGAACCACTGCATCTTCAGCCATTGTCTTTATTCTTTCTTTTAAAAGAAGAAGAAGAAGAAGAAGAAGAAGAAGAAGAAGAGAAAAACCGTTATAATACTATTCGTTAAGTCTTCTTTTAGGTTTATGATAGTGTTGTTTTAAGGTTGGAGAAGGTCGTCGAGTTGTCGTATAGGTAGTGTCTCTATTTGTGACACTGACTCTTTTACAAGTCTCTCCCTCTTTTTTTAGTCTGGCCTTTATAGCCCCCCCCCCCCCTCCGTTTTATTAGCCAATCAACATGGGATGAACCTGATTTTCACTTAACTGAAAGGGAGTTTTAATTGCATCGAGAGATTTTTTTTTATTTTTGTTTTTTGAAAAAAGGTGGCAGGAATGGTTAACGAATACAGTTAGTTTCATTATAGTAACTAGGTCATATAAACAAACAAAGACACGAAAGGTTAATGCCAACGCCAATGTAAAAAAAACAACGCTTGTATTATGTCTCTCTCTCACTTCCTTGTCCTCTCTCTCTCTCTCGCTCTCTCTCTCTCTCTCTCTCTCTCTCTCTCTCTCTCTCTCTCTCCTCTCTCTTGTCGTTAATCTGGCAATGCAACTCGACAAACACTCTACCCTGTACATCAGGCACGTTCAAGTGTATCAACTTTTCTGCTCGACATCTCTCTCTCTCTCTCTCTCTCTCTCTCTCCTCCTCTCGGCTTCATTGTTCCTTCCTTGTCTTGCCACATTGTTGTTTTCTGTAATACACTACTACCTTGTCATCTCTGCAGTCCAATTTTCCACCAGCTATACCCAATATCTGGAACCAAAAAAAAGCTCTGCTAATAAGAATCCATAGAGATAGTCGATGCTCTCGAAGACATGGGCATAAACATGCTGTCTCGCATACTGGGCGTAAGTGTCGAAATGCTCTCCCGAGATCCAACACTGTACAAACGGTCCGTGCGTTTGCTCTTGCGTTTGTACACGCACGTGTCTTTATCTATTCGAATGCCCCATTGAAACTCATCAGCTTTCGTCACGACATCCAGAAACTCATTAAGTTTCGCAATGCGATCAATTATCAGCTGATCCGAGAAAAATCCAGTGAGACTTTGGGTTTGGAGTTCCGGAATATCGTGATCACTGCTTGGGTTTTTAGCCTTAAGCGTCGCTGCCAAGTTCCTGTAAAAAATAGACACTTGAGTTAGGACACGAAAAAACATACACCTTTTGACAGATTCAATGAAAAAAAACATCAGCTTACAAAAACGTGCTGTATCGATGCCAAAGCACTAATGTGCCTCGAACGTCTGTCACAATTTGTAGCTTGTACTCCACATATTGGCGGCCTTGCTTGGTTTTAATCCGGCTACACAAACCCATTCACCTTTTTGTCAATGTTTGTTTCCCAGCAAAACATACACCTTTTGTTAAAATGCCACTTACCTGTCCACCACCTTGGCCGAAAGCAACGAGATCTCTCTCATTTGATCAATTTTCGTCTGGTACGAGTCCAATGTCTGACGCAGCTGCACATGTTCGCGTCGCAGATCCACACTGGCGTTCTGAAGTGCCATATTAAGTATGGAAGCCCGCAGCTTTTCATTCTCCTCCTCTAATTGACGCTTCTTGAACGCCGCCTCTGACAACTGAGCCTCGTATTGACGAGCAGCTTCTTCTGCTTTGGCCACTTTATCAGCGGCTTCGGACAGCACGCGGTCCGTTCGTGTGGGTGTACCCATGTTGTCTCTAGGCTGCTATATAAGAATAGAGAGAGAAGACTGTTTATTGCAGTTAGAGACCAAAAAAAATGATACGAAAGAGGGAACAGCTTCTTTTTCCATTTTTTTTGCTCTGTGATTTACCTAACGCGACAGGGGGGAATACGATTGCTTTTAAAGTGATACAAACGGAGAGACCGCTGTTTGATGCCGCGTGAGAAAACTAGTCTCTGTTTCGTTCGGTTAAGGAATTATAACACCTGCAGTTAAACAACTCGGCGACGGCGCAAATTGCTGTCGGCTGCTTGTACGTTCAGTTTCGCTCTGCCAGGCTGCAATGTCATTGGTCGAGAGCTGTATACCCCACGGACTGAACAGAAAAAGCGTCTTACGACTAATTCGTGACGATTTGCACTTAAAGAACGTAAATCCTAGGTCGAACTTGCCCCTTTCACCCAGCGACTTGGAGTGGTGATCCAAAGACAATGACGTCACTCCGATCGGGCGTGGCAGCGTCGACGCAACAATGAGTGCGTCGTGCGTCCAATGCATTACGGTAGGACGAGGATATATTGCATTAGATTTTAAGAAAGAGAGGCTAACAGGAAGCGATGGGCCGTTTTTGCATGGTAGTTTAACGGCGTCGTTGCGTTGTCGTCGATTAGAAGTGGGAGGTTCACGTCAGTGTAAGTACGTGGCAGCTTTGCATTTCCAGTAGTACTTGACACTGTACTTTATGTCCCATCGTATTCTTCATTGGTCAAGGACAAGGAAGAAAAGATCTAGCGGTGGCAATTGCGGTGGAACAGGGTGGCGTAGACGAGCTTAAGGCAAGGCGAGAGTTTAGCTTGGTTTGATTGACGCGAACGAGATTTTGTTAGTACTTGGCTTTAAAGAAAAAGGAGTAACTCTTTGATCGTATGATTTTCACATAAAAATATTATAGTATGGCTTGTACTTGGATTCAAATCATGAAATTTAGGTATACTATGTCCTAAATAGATGTTCACACCGCAGGTATGCAGTGTTTGGTAACCTACTCATAAATAAGCATTCAAATTACGAGCTAAGTTTTATGTACGGATGTACGACTAGTTCATAAAGCTGTGCTTTATATTGTAATATTCCACCAGAATAAATGAGCAAACTAAATGCGTACGACGCAATATGATTGGTCACACTTTACGCATTTTATCTTATCGTTTTCGCACCCTGAATTGACAGTCACTTTACAGCGGCTGTAATATTTAGGCTAAAACCACACTTTACACAGTAATGTTACAAAAGGTGCTGGTATCAATAAGAGCGTATTAAAAGACGACATCGACTATGAACGCAATTGCGTTACACAATTGCGTTACAGAATTGTGATATGGACACAATTGCGTTACACAATTGTGATATCGGTCAACAAGAACTTGATGATTTCGTAGGACGTGTCCAAAGCTAAATGTGTGCACTAACGTAATTCATCTCAGAGCTTCATGACGCAAATGCATGGTCAGACTGTAGCCGCGATACACAGCTCTTTAGCCAGAGGAAGACTTTCGGCTGGAAGCCTCTTAGTTCTAGAGAATTAATTAAATTTACGGCTAAAAGCCACTTAGTTCTAAGGAACTAATTAAACGACTTAAAGTCACCCTGTTCTAAGGAACGAGGAAAGAGACTTTTAGTCAGTCAAGTAATAAGCTTAAGGTTTAGAGAACCAACGCACAAAGTTGTAGCTCCAAAGAAACAAAAAATTGGACGGCTAAAAGCCACTTAGTGTTATTTTGAATTATTTAAACGACTACGAAGTCTACCCATTCTGTGAAAATAGGGAGGGACTTCTAGCCGACAAACAATAAGCTTAAGGGTTCATAGAATCAGCGTACAGAGTGCAAGAGCAAGTTTGCAGCTTAGAGGTTCAAAGTACCAACGCACGAAGTACGCAAGAGAAACAAGTCAATACTGGCTTAATCTTTACGACTTAAAATGAGAACTATTCATAACATCGTAAACTTTATGTATCTTACACTAGATTATTACTATTATAGTAATTGTAGTATGCCATTGTCTGTATCTGGAGTAGTACTTAGTACTACTGTATCAGTTAAGGGCAAGAACAAGCTAGAAATGTAAAGGTTCAGAGAACCAACGCACGAAGTACACAAGAGAGCAAGTCAGAACGACTTGCGATCTATAACTCAAAAGGAGAACTGAAGTTATGTATGCATTAAGATTTTATGAATAGTCCTACTCTAAGTACCCTACACTAGATTAATTACTATAATAGTAATTATTATATGCAGACTTTGCTATTGGACGACGTATCGTCTAAACATCTGTGTATGATGTACTTAGTACAGCGATATCGATTTAACGAATCCTAATCGATAAGATTCGGTATTGCCGAATACCGTTTCTTTAACGCTTATACTTAATACCTCTCTAAAGAGAAGTATTAAGAATGCATTATATGCAATAAAGGAAAACTTCAACCGTAAACTTTCGGAATGATGTTCCAACCGTCATGTAACCCCGTTACATCATCTCCGTCGAATAAATATATTAATGGATATCGCATTAGCGAAAGTGGATCATATTGATATGTCCCACCCAAATAGGAGGTCCAAGGTACCACTTACTTTTTGAAAACTTTCCGTTGAGTATCATATATTTAACGGACTCGTGTAATATTTAACCCTTTACAACACATCTTGCAACCCCTAAACGGTTAATTAGACTCTTCTGTCTCTCTCCCCTTTTGGGATACAATCCCAAGTACAGATCGAGCCTAAATTTCTAATTCATCAAGCTGCAATGACGATGATTGCAGCATGATGAACGAAACATAGCTGGCCGTTTTGTTTTGTAATCAACTGTACTAGTTAGCATCCGCAAAGCTTACCGCTCCGATTTTCAACTCGAGCGTAATCATGATGAGATATCTTGTGCACCTTGGCTGTCGGTTTAAAGCATGCGATGGTCAGTTCAAGTGAGTGTCACAATCTCGTAGTTGAAGGGACTGTTCTACAAGGACTCAGCGTGTATCATAACCGTCTCAAATTGTTACGATATATTTCAGCAAACGACAAAACTTCCACGCACGAGTGGCCGCGACCAATTAGCTTACCATTTTTGCAAAATTAAGTCTGTCTGTGTGAGCCATCCAGTATTGGTTGACGTAGTCTGTGTAACGGGGTTACACGACGGTTGGAACATCATTCGAAAGTTTACGGTTGAAGTTTTCCTTTATTGCATATAATGCATTCTTAATACTTCTCTTTAGAGAGGTATTAAGTATAAGCGTTAAAGAAACGGTATTCGGCAATACCGAATCTTATCGATTAGGATTCGTTAAATCGATATCGCTGTACTAAGTACATCATACACAGATGTTTAGACGATACGTCGTCCAATAGCAAAGTCTGCATATAATAATTACTATTATAGTAATTAATCTAGTGTAGGGTACTTAGAGTAGGACTATTCATAAAATCTTAATGCATACATAACTTCAGTTCTCCTTTTGAGTTATAGATCGCAAGTCGTTCTGACTTGCTCTCTTGTGTACTTCGTGCGTTGGTTCTCTGAACCTTTACATTTCTAGCTTGTTCTTGCACTTTGTGCGTTGGTTCTCTAAACCTTAAGCTTATTACTTGACTGACTAAAAGTCTCTTTCCTCGTTCCTTAGAACAGGGTGACTTTAAGTCGTTTAATTAGTTCCTTAGAACTAAGTGGCTTTTAGCCGTAAATTTAATTAATTCTCTAGAACTAAGAGGCTTCCAGCCGAAAGTCTTCCTCTGGCTAAAGAACTGTGCAGCTTCGCTACACTTGGTAGCACTTGTAGTCAATCCTACACCTGAGTCTTTAAAGACTGACCCTTTGTGAGGATGGAGAATCAAAATCACCTCTCTGAGGCGCTACGACTCGCGCTAGATAAATTATCTGCGTTCGTTGGGACCGATCAAATCGAGGCCCTTTTGGCCCAAGGCCCCGAGATTCTAAATGCTCGTCTTGAGGCCTTTATGCGTTATGAAAGCAACGCTACTCGGGCAAGGAAATGACCAGGCAGCGTCAGCTGCGCCTACACAGTACAACCCGGTACCTGTGCCCGATGCAGAGCCAAAGGCTCGCCCACTCGTTTTTAAACGTAAAGACCTTTGAGGGGTAGGAGGGAGAAAATCTTCTCCTCTGGATTTGAGAAGTTGAAATGGCAATGGATGCCGCCATGCTTGTGTCAGATAAGCAAAGAGTTGGCTTGGCCATTTCGAAGCTCGGTGGAAGAGCTAGAGAGTGGGATCTAACGAGCGATGTCTCTGTAAATGCCGCATTCCCCACATGGGAAATGCTTAGAAAGCAATTAACTTGTGTTTGCACCACCTAATCAGGCTTATGGTGTGCGCTCACGCTTCTTAGCTACCCGACAGAGTAAGAAATAATTGTCGGACTATGTCCAATAGTTGAGAACTCTCATTGCTGCTATGCAGCAGGACCCTCTGGCAGAGGAAGTTCGAGTAACCATTTTTATGGAAGGACTTCGTACTGGAGTCGCCAGGACATAAATTTTCCGTGTCCAGCCTTCGACATTCGAAGAGGCAGTAAGCATAGCGTTTAACGTTGAGTTTAATTTTAAATCTGCTCGATATGGTCTGCCATGGTATTTATCAAAAATGTAACGGGGCTAGAACGTACCGTCACTAGCTTACACGTGCGCTTGAGGAAGACTCAAGTCCGTCCACGTCACACTCGCTGGCGAGCTCTTGCTCGTCGCCACAATGCCCTTGTGGGAGCCCCTGCTCGACCACAATAGGTGCAGATGGGAACCCCGGTTCAACCACTGCATTCACGTGCGGGAACCCCTGTTCAACCGCATTAATGACGCGCGGGAACCCCTGTTCGACCGCGTCGTCCTCGTCGTCCTCTTCGCTCTGTAGCGAGGAGTCACTGTCACTTGTGTCCCGAAGAACAGCACAAGCAGTGCAGAGAGGGCCATCGCTCGCTCTGTGCACCGCCAACGTCGTGGAATCGCGATCCAC